CCTGCCGGCAGCGGTGATTTTATACAGGTACATTATGTATCATGTAACAAACGTTACGTTACTATTGTCTATTGTGTGTGTAAAGAGACAGTATATAAAAGTAACGGTGCAATTCAAAATTGTGTGTGTGTGAATATATACGTAAAGCGAAAGTATTTATAAAGCAATAGTATATCTCTTCTCCATGTAAGGTCATTACCATAACAAAAGCTTTTCATTACCGACATGCTCTGTTCATTACCATAACACTTCCTTAATAAGTTAATATTTTGATAGGAATATGGAAAACCTTCACATTTTCATTTTGTACAGGAAATGTTTGGTATGTCTGTTCATATTTTAAAATGGTCTTTTTTCAATCAATTGTACAATGTACACCACAGTAAAAGTCAATGTGTGGAACATAAAATTGTGTTACGGTAATGAAGTTAATAACTAAAATTATTATATTATTATATATTTACCTGAATTATTACACTATGTGACTACTTGTGACTATTGACAGCAGCATACGTTAAAAAATAAAATGCCAAACATTTACTCAAATATTTAGTTATCATCAATTGAAAATGTGTTACGGTAATGAATTTATTTGGTCAATGACTCGTTAAAACTCTCCAAAAATGTGTTTTAAAACATATACAGAACTTTTCTTTAACTAGGGCTAGTTCATTTAGAACCTGGTTGATACTAATGAGAACAATTATTTTCAAAATCTGCATCGAACTGTTTTGGCTCATGTTACACCAAGTTCGTAGCATTAGCCCCGCGCACCAACGGAGAGAGAATAACTTATCGCAACACAAAAAAAAACAGGGGAGCGGTGGAGTGATGAGGAGGTGTCTGCGTTCTGCCGATTTACTCGGAAGGAGCCAGTCCCCAACTCCGGGAACTTCCGGCCGGGGACTTCGGGTGGCAGTATACGCCGTGAAGTGGTTTGCGGACTGCCAGTAAACCCAAAGCAGAAGAAGAAGAAGTGACATCAGCGGCTTCATTTGCGTAATATTCCCTCAGGGAACTTATTCCGATGTGAACGCGATCTGTACTTAGTGCCATGGGGGCACTAAGTGCTGGCACTAAGTACGGCAAAGTACTTGGTGTGAAAGCGGCTAATAGTGTACTTTGACATTGAAAAGGCGTATGACTCTATGTGGAGGGATGGATTACTGGTCAAATTGAGTAGAATGGGTATTGGAGGGAGAATTTACAATTGGGTAAGGGCCTTTTTATCAGACAGGACATTTAGAGTAAAGATTGGAGCAGATATTTCCAATTATTTTGAAATAGAAAATGGTATCCCCCAAGGGAGTGCAGTCAGTCCAATATTATTTAACCTCATGATTAATGATATATTTACATGCTTAGACACATGCATACAATGGGCTCTATACGTAGACATGCCCCATACGTACGGAGAATATAGCTAGAGCGATTAAAAAAGTGGAGGTGGTCATATAACTGGGGATTCAAAATGTCATGCTACATGGTAAATCAATCAATCAATCAATGTTTATTTATATAGCCCAATATCACAAATGTTACATTTGTCTCAGTGGACTTCACAGTGTGTACAGAATATCAGTATGACAATACGACACCCTCTGTCCTTAGACCCTCTGTCCTTAGACCCTCTGTCCTTAGACCCTCACATCGTACAAGGAAACACTTCCAGAGAAAACCCACAGTTTAAAGGGAAACATGGGAGAAACCTCAGGGAGAGCAACAGAGGAGGGATCCCTCTCCCAGGACGGACAGACGTGCAATAGATGCCGTGTGTAATTTGAAAAGATAATACATTTGCAACATAGGTATTTACAAACAAACGCAAGATTGATGGCCAACAGCTAACACTATGATCGTCCAATGACAAAGGTGAATTAGTTCAAATACCTAGGACTGTGGTTTGATAGCAAATATACATGGTAAATGCATATTAATCAAGTGGAAAGAATATGCAAAAAAGTATTAAATCTACTACGAGCTGTAGCTGGATGCAACTGGGGCGCAGACAAACAAGCATTAATAGACATTTACAGATCAATGATGAGGTCCACAATAGACTATGGTTGTCTCGTGTATGGAGCAGCAGCAAAAACATGGCTTTATATAAAGCATTGCGGCTGTGTATTGGAGCGATAAAGTCATCCCCTTAATGCAGTTCTGATAGATGCAGGAGAGACACCGCTGGAGATCAGAAGAGAGAAACTTGCTCTGTCATACTGGGTCAGGCTACAAGGAAGTAGAGAGGAACATATCACAAACAATACTACAGGATTGCTGGAATATGCAAAGTTCCAGGGGCGTGGGTTTGGCTGGACGAGTAAGGAGAGAACGAGGGCATGTGGAGTGAAGACCATCATGTTTGCCAAAGCAAGCCCATTTAGCCGTGTTCCCCCATGGCTGTTCCCAGAAGCTAACATAGATGGGAGTATCATAGAAAGAAAAAAAGAGTGGTAAATAAATGAAGTGGGAATTAAAACAAGTATGTATCTGAACGAAAAGTACTACAATTACCTACAAATGTACACAGATGGTTCTAAGAACAAGGAAGAGTGTGTTGGAGTTATATACGACTTTAAAATATCTATTTTAAAAAGAGCATCTGATCAATTATCAGTGTACACAGCAGAAATGCTGGCCGTAATAACAGGATTGCAGTGGGTTGAAGAGGTCAGACCAGATAGGGTGGTGATATGCACAGATTCATTGTCCATATTAAAAAGCATACAGTCAACAACAACTGTCAGAGAAGACATTCTCATAGAACTTAACCACAGCCTGTTAACTCATGCACGTACTATGATCTAATCAAACAAAATAAAAATAAACATAAAATAAATAAAACAAAACAAAATACAAATCTATGATCTTTCCTGACCTAATGTTACATTATTTTTCCTACCCCAGTTTCACTCAGGAAGGTAAACAGTGCCTTTCTGGTAGCTCTTACTCCCTCTCCTTCTGTTCCCAGAATACCAACCACACTCCACTCCTCCCTCTCTGCCTCTATAACTTTAGCCTTTAGTTTTTCTCTTTCAGCGTTATAGATATAAAGGATAATAAAGGACTGGCTTTTCTAAAGCCAGTTGAGTAGCACTTGAAATGTTTTTGCTCTATGAAACCTGATGTACTTATATGATTCTGTTTTTTTCAAGTTGTATTTTGTTGGACGAACGCACTTATTGTAAGTCGCTTTGGATAAAAGCGTCAGCTAAATGCAATGTAATGTAATGTAATAGATGTCACAATGTAACAACATGTGTTCTACATCTTCTTTAACTCCACAGTTCCTACTTGTCACTGTCACTTTTCCCCATGACATACAGCGTGATATGTTGTTCAATGCTGTGTGATCCAGTCTGAGTCTAGCTATCATCAAATCAAATCAAGTTTTATTTATATAGCACATTTATAAACGATTTTTGGTGGAGCCAAAGGGCTGTACATATAATAAAAATAGCCTACAGTAGAAACACTTTACAGCAAATACAACAGCACAGATTGTTCAGAATATCAGTATGAGAAAAAAACGACACCCTCTATCCTGATTTCCTCCCTTCTGTTTCTTTCTTTATAAATATTAATTGTGATTGTCTTTTGAACTTTATGATACTCTTTGCCTTTCTGGTCTTTCTCCCACCTTTTCTGCCAGATCTCCGTCCCTTTTTTCTTAATTACTGCTTTTCCTTCTCCTTCTCCAAGTTGAACTGGTAATGTTATTTCCTTTTGTAATGCACTTTTTGCTAATTTATCAGCACACTCGTTCCTTTTCCCCCCCTCATGTGCAGTAGCGTGGCGTGGGGAAAAAAATTAGGGGAAGCCAATAATACCTCCTTTCTTTTGGGTCGGGGGTGTGGTGGTCAATGTAATAACGTAACCAGATTAGTTACCCGGTATCATTTTACACATATTTGTATCATACAGATGCAGGACTTACACACGCCTGTTATCTAACCGACAGATCCGCACGCACTCTCCAGCCGAAACTCTAATAAGCATTCATTCACAAACTAAATCAGGAGACCTTTAACGTTTTACGTCCGATTCGCTCTTTTTTTCCTCGCTGTTCACAGCTCCAGTTTGGGCATTGGCCTGTCATCAGATTGTATTTGTTGTTGCTGCTGTAGCGGAAGTTTAGTACAATTATTTTGTATTAAACACTCCAAATCTCCACCCTCCATAATTGCACTTGCTTCAGTTGCTTGCTACTTTCTAACGGCGGTGAGAGTGGTGCAGTGACGCTATCTATCTTCTATCGATTAGATTTATGATTCGAAAATTATAAAAGTAGGGTAGACATGTGGATATTATCCGGCTGAACAAAACGTGCATTTATCTAACAGGTTCGTTTTCCACTGACCTTATTTCGAGCTATTTTCCAAAATCCTATGGAGAAATTCCATTACTTTTTTGTCGAGGGAAACCGAGCGCAGCTTACTTCCGGATTTTAGGATGCGTCACTGCAACACTAAGTTGATGCGATTTGATTGGATTGTGAGGCAAGGGAAGCCAGCCGCCTCTGGCTTCCCTTGGCATGGCCCTGACCAATCACAGGTTGGAAGGGGCATGACGTAATGTCATGTCTGATTGGTCAATCCCTCCATTTTTTTTCACCAAGGGAAGCCAATTTCGGCTGGCCTCCTCTCGCAACAGAGAGTGCAATCTACTGTTTCACCATAACATCTAGAGGGGCGCTGTTTCACTCTTTGTAAAATATTCAATGAGAATGGGGGAGAGACGGGCCGGCAGCAACACACAGCAAAGAATTTCCGAAACTAAACGAAGTGTTTTTATTTATTTATTAAAATTATAACTACAGGAGAAAACGCCACTGCTCATGTGCAGGCACCCAGCAGAACTGCAGATCTATACCGCCTCTGTGAAGTCTTAAGAGGTGGAATGATATGATGATTCACACTAGTGTACAGTAGGTGGCGGTATGCACCTTTAAAGTTGTTTGCAATCCGCCAAAAACCGAGAGAAGAAGAAGAAGAGAGAAATGTCCCGGAAGTCATAAGGCGGGGCTTAAAAGTTTCATCCACAGCGCGGGAGATTTCTTCCTGTTCCGTGAATGTCACGTGTCCCTCTCTGGCGCTGCTAAGCTACGGTTCAGCTAACAGCCAGCAGCCTACAGCCCAGAGAGAGAACCAGACTGTGAGGGTCCAGCACCGGAAGACTATGGCCGAACATGAGGAGCAGAGAGCCGCTCCTCTGAACGGGTGAGTGGTCAAACTGTTGGTGCTCTCTGAGATGAGCCACAACAAACCCAGGAGAAGAGACGCAGTCATTTGGCTATGTGAATGCCTCAGTATATTTGCTACACATTTACACTTCAGTCATTCAATGATTCATCGCATGCTTGCACTTTGTTTTGAAAATAGGTGTGGACACTTTTTCCAGCGTGGGGGAAATGATTGAGGAAGCCAATAATGTCCTCTTTTTGTAAAGCGGACACGCATACCTGCATACTGTTTGTTCTTAAACATGTAAACTATTCTGGTACTCTCTGAGTAGAGAATAAAGCAAAAAGACAACATTTACAGACAAACAACACTGCCGCATTATTTTTGAGTCAGTAGAGTAAGAGGAATTATTTTTTATTTTTTTGAAAGTGCAGTGTCTACGCCCTGCTGCTGCACAGCGGGAGCTATGTTCGTTTTGCTATTTTCTATTGCAAGCTCAATGACATGTCCGAATTGCACATCTTGGATCATGTATATGAGATATTATATCTCATATACATGATACAAATACGATTTGGTAGTTCAAGCCAGCCCGCAGGTGATATTGCGGTGCGCGAACATCCTATGCGTTACGGTAGAGTCCTGGAAAAACTGCCTTCAAAATAAAGCGCTTACTCGGTCAATAACAAATACACCTAAATAACATACCAAACATATTAAATTAAGAAATATGTACTATATAATGTGATCAATAATTATTTAAAACAAACTACGTATAACTACCACATTATAAATGAGTGAATGTAAAACTTAAGGAGTTTCAAAATAAAAGACCTTTGAAGTCTCATATGAGCTATCATCCCTCTGTTTTTAGATAAGAATAAAACAAAAACTGTCCAGTATCAAATACTAATATCACTTCAGGGTGATAGCAGGAAACCCCATCTAGTCACTCAGAGAGAATCAGGACAATCTGATGTAGAGTTTAAAAACAAAAGACCTTTGAAGTCTCATATATGAGCTATCACCCCGAATTTTTTTCTTTTTAAATATAGTGTAAATAGAAGGGAAATAAAGGTTAAAGCAAAAATATCCATATTCACTGTAAAATAAGAGTATCTACATCTAAATGCACACTATAGAACAGACAAGAATACATTTGAAATTCTCAAAAGTATGCACTGCATGTACGATGTAAGTACAATGTAGCAGACGGATCAAACAATGTATGGTGCTGGGAGTTATCTGCTGGCCAGGGATGACGAGTTGTAGAGGGTTATTGCTTTTAGAAATGTTTTTCTTTATGTAGTTATGTACACATGACAAAACACTTTTGAATCTTTTAATTTTTGAAAAAAATGTGGGTGTGGAGTCCCTCCAGTTCCTAGAATGCACTATCTTCCATGAGCTGAAACCATAGACTGTATATATAAATGGACGTAGGGTCCGTGACGTCACCCATAGGATTCTGCAGAGTTGCCGTGAAGCCCTTAGTAGGCGGAGTCGGCCACTAACGGCTCGACGGTGTCGTCAGAGTCTAACTCCCGCCTTCTCCAAATAAGGGCAAAGAGGCGGAGCCGAGGCGGGACAGGGCGGGACCTGCTGCCAACGAGCGTGACGTTCGAGTCCTAGCTCAGGCTAAGAAGCTAAGCTAACATGCTCTCAGTATCAATCGAATGTAAAACATGATTGATGAAAGTAGTAAATCGGTCAGATTTGACCCGAAGACAACAGGAGGGTTAATGCCATATTCACTTAGTAACGCATGAACAACTTTTACAAATATTTCTATATAGTCTGTGTTGGTAAATGTCATCTAGGTTGCACATTTCCTGCTGAAATACATGCATACCAAGTCACTGCGTGGCACTTTGGTTTTGATAAAACAGTGTAGTTCCACTATATAAACATTACATTCATAATCAAACGAGACAATCTGCAAGATAATTAGCTATTTGGTATTATTCTTAATGCTTGTCATTCACACGTTAATAAAATAAAATAAGTACCGATACATAGCAGAATAATTGTGGCGGTGTTCAGCTTAATAAGCCTTGCTCAACATCATTTATTTAGCTAATACTACAGCGGGCTGCAGGCGAACCAAGTCCACGTTACGATGCATTCCTTGATCTCCAGTTATAACGCCGGACTCCGCCGCTGGCCGAAGCTAACGGAGCCCCAGGGTGCTAGCTACGGCCGCCGGGACGAGCTAGCACCCTGCAGCCCCGTTAGCTTCGGCGGCGTGGACTCCGGCGGCCCACCCCTTTTAACATTTGCTCCCGTTTAGCATTATGGGCGTCATAGCCATATAGTATAAAAGTCTTACCCAAGGCTGAATCATAAACTAAACTGTATATATGTATAAAGGGTTACGTCCTTAGCTGGCTAATAAGCTACATAACAGGCTAAGCTAACAAGCACACAAACACCTGCTAACGGGGTTAACATGTATAATATTATCATTTTACTCACCGAAAAAAGCTGAAAAGTAGACTTCTTGGAAGATCTGTTAGTACATTCAAGCGCACAGCACGACATTTTAATTATCTGGTATTTGTAACAATATTCCCTAACAGGCACGATCACCACGAACACAGCTAAAGGATCAAGTACAGTAACTACAACTAACTAACGTTGTAGCCTCTATGGTTGTAGCCTAGCAGATTGGACAAGTTGCTGTTAGCTGACAGTGAGGCACGTATCTGTCAATCAAAGTGACCACACCCTAATGTATGCACAAACTTTAAGACCTAATAGAAATATAAAGGGTCGCGTTAGAAAACAATTCACTCACAGATCCATAATCATGAAGGTGGAATCTAACTATATCGATAATAAAATGTATGGAGCCAGGGGTAGAAACATGTTTTTTTCTGCTGTAAAGTCGGGCATTTTAACATGGGGGTCTATGGAAATTGCTCCTTTCTGCAGCCATCGCCTATCGGCCAATATATGAACTACAGTGTGTGGCACTTCCGTATTGGCTTCCCAGCTCTACCCCACAGTTTGCCGCTTGGCTGAAACTGACATAAAATGCATATTAATGGGTGCCAAGCATAGACTGTTTTTCCTAAGCCTCCATTAGATATATTTTTAGGGGCACTGATAGATGTTAACTTCCTATTCTCAAATACACTTGCAACAAATATGTGTTTTTGATGCACTACACTTACAGTACAAGAACATTTACAATATTTTTAGAATCACTGATAATAATATGAACCTGTTATCAAATTAATTGTCAAGCCTTCATCTTTGCCTCAAGTGCATTGGGCCCATGGCAAGTTGTTGTGTCAGCTGTTTAAATGTTTCCTACTTAACAATTAAACAGGCAGAAATAAGAAAATTGGTGATGCGGCCTTCGGTAATTATGCCCCAAAGCTGTGGAACACGATACCTTTAGACATCAGGGAAGCCTGCTCGGTCTAAATATTCAAGATAAAGCTTTAGATAGCTACTTGGTTTTCTTTTATTATCCTGAATTTATATTTATATTTGTATATCTTTTAACCCTTTCATATGTGATATCAATGTTCTTGTTAACTGTATTTTATTTGACATCTATTTTCTTAAACTCTATCTTATGAGACTGTGAAGCACTTTGGACTGCAACTCCTGTATGAAAGGTACTATACAAATAAAGGTTATTGTTAATATTATTATTATTATACTCTACATCAAGAAAAACATGTTCTGTCTTTTACTGATCGCAGTGGATGTCAGCGTATTCGTCTTGTATTTTATATTTGTGTATTTTTCCTTTTCTGAAATACAGAAAGGCTTTTAAATTGGAGTGGGTACAGACAGTCACAAGGCCCCATACTACTTTAATAACAGACATATATAAGTCATGTACTCCAAACATTTCCAATAATTCCCAAATTCAACACGTTATTATGGGTCATTACCAGTGGCGAACCGTCAGGGCCTTCAAGGTATTCAGAGAATACCCCGGAACACTCAGATAAAACAAACAAAAAATCGATTTAATTATATAAATAAAATGAATAAATGAGAATCGTATCCGTGTTGTTGATCTGTAATATTACAGTGTTACGTTGATTTGTTTGTCCTTCTCGGACCATGCACTACGCATTTCAGTGGTTTTGTGTTAGAAAAGAAAGCAACCAATCAGATATTGTTCTGGGTCTCTGCGTAGAATATCCTTCAACCAAGGTATTCTACATCCTTGATCGAATGCCCTGGCCGTTGCACTGAATGAGAGCGTACGTTTGGACTGACAGTTTGATCAACCAATCATATATGGACTTGTAGCCAATGGGCGTATTCTTTCAGAGTTTCCCTCGGTTCCAGGGTATTCTAGAAGGCCCGCTAGTTAACTGGCTCGAGACAGAGGATCTAGAACGAATGCGACGAAGCAATTCATGCCGTTTTATTGTTAACGTTGAAATGACAAGTGCAACAGGTGAAGATGAAGTTGTTGCGGAATTGTTGTGAGTACAATTTTCAAGACGACAATTCAGTGAAAAGATGGACATTATAATGCCGCGGGGGAGGGGCGTCAGGGGGTGTGTGTGTCTACAGAAGGTCCAGTTGTGATAGACACGGTTCGCCACTGGTTATTACACAGTTTAGTTGAATACTCGATTCTGATTTGTCAATTCGGTCGGACATTTCAGAGGTTATTAAGACCGATTTTGAAATAATAATTAATTAAATAATTGGTCATCTTTCAATTTCATTATTTCACTTCTTTATAAGATAAGAATTACTTTATTGGGCAATATCGTGCATTTGAAAGTGAAACTTAAGCTCGCTCCGTTGTGGAGATATTCCCGCGAGAGTGCGGAAAACATTTTCATTGCGCAGGAAATGGTAGCCAATGATGGTAGGGCAACCACACTGCTCATTTACACATGTAACAGCAAAACGGACTTAACAGGACCAGGGAGGCGACGGCCGTCACACTGATATATACTAGGGGTGTAACGGTTCACAAACATTTCGGTTCGGTACGTACCTCGGTTTTTAGGTCACTGTTCGGTTCGGTACGTTTTTGGTACAGCAGAAAAAATTATCACAAATTATCGCGTTAACGGCGGTAATTAATTTTTTTAATTAATTGCGTTAAAATATTTAACGCATTTAACGAATGTGCAGAATGGCCTGCCCCATACATCCCACCAGTGGCAGCGCCAGGGTATGGCTGGGATAGGCTACACCCATACCAAGAAATGGTTTAGCCCCACCATGAAAAATGATGTTAAAGTAAGCAAAATAAAGTCCGCCAACTCGCGCCGAGAATTGCACAGACAGCAGTTAGTAAGATTGATTTCAGCAGCCACTTGTCTGGAAATACCGAAGACCAGAAACGGTTTTGAAAACTTTTGTCACGTAGTGATCGTCTTCTCAATAGAACATCTTTGATAATGTCTTCTGGCCAATCAGAATCAAGATAACGGCGTGGTGTTGTTGCAGGAAGTTCCGACGGAGAATACTTTTGCTGTAGTACAGGTAACACATAACTTATGTGCGTAATCTGAAATGCGTACCGTCACTTGTGTCACAAAGCGCATTTGCGTACCGACGTACTTGTGAAGCTTTTCCAGAAGGCGGTTAGATCACCGGACGACAGAGTCGGTCTCCGTGTGCACAGACAGGGCTGCTGTTAACGTCGGTCTGTACAACGGAATTGTGCCAAAACTACTCCAACCGGCTGCGGAGGGAGACTCCCCCCCCCCCCCCCTCCCCCTTCACTGGAGAACTGAGCTAAAACAGCTGATCAAAACGTTCACACTCTGTGGTCACAAGTACTCCACTAGTACTTGTCCCCCCCCCCCCCGTCGACTTTCCTGAAGTACTCCCCCGTTGATAGAAATCAACACGTAATGAATTAAGACCCCAAGGTTTGATGATTGATAGGTGTGTGGGCTGTCTTTCATTTTGACACGCAGAAAAATGTTATAATAAACATAACTGCATGTTAAATGGATATATCCGCCTTCTTTCATTTATCTTACCATTCCCACAACAATATACATAAATAAATGGCATATTTTGGACATGGTTCGAATGGTGATTAATCATGATTAATGAATGTTTAAGCTGTGATTAATCTGATTAAGAATTGTAATCGTTTGACAGTCCTAATATATATATATATATATATATATATGTTTTTTTTAATAATTATTAAACTGTGAATAATGTATTCACTCAAATAAATACAAAATAAAATAAACATTAAGGTGCAGCATTTCGATGAACTGAAATAATCTGTATTTGAACTGTACTGTACTAGCACCTAAGCAGCCAGCTTGACATTAGGACTTGCTTGTCATTGTATTTTCATGTTGTTCTAAAGAAAGATGAACTTGTCCACATTGCTTGCTGAAAGGGCAGATCTGCTGGCACTAACAATGTCTCCTGCTGTGGAGAACACCCTCTCTCTAGGGACAGAGGTAGCAGATACAGCCAGATAGCGCTTTGCTAACATGGCAGCATAAGGATATTTGGCGTTTGTAATAGCTTTGGCTCGGTCTGATCTTGTTGCGAGTGGTGGAGCCTTAAATGCTAGTGGTAGTTGGGTTTGAACTTCAGTCTTTTTTCTTTTGGTACCGGTGATATTCACGTTCGGGTGATGCCTTTTCAAATGAGTTTGCAAGTTTGATGTATTGCAAGCCGCGTAACCAATTTTAGTTGAACAATGCAGACAAACAGCGTTGATTCGGTCCCTGTCTTTGGCCGTCATCCTTGTACGTAACTGCGAAACCAAAATGTTCCCAAACCGGAGACTTCAATGATGCTGGAGGATTTTCGAGCTCAACTTTATCTGCGTTCGCCATTTCGACAGTTCCTCAAATTACTGACTAAGTTTGAACGCATCCCTGTGACCAGCTCTCATAGTATGCCTCTCGTCCAATGAAATGACTTGCTCGCTCTATGACGCGTTGAACCCAATGTGAGCAAATTACTCTGAATGCTGCGACCCAGCACCTGAGTTTACTTCCAAAAAGTTGTTCACGTTCTCAATTTTTTACGTTTAACGTTATATTCGTTCGGTACACACGTGTACCGAACCATTACACCCCTAATATATACCATTGTATTTTGAAACTCTACATCAGATTGTCCTGATTTTCTCTGAGTGACTAGATGGGGTGTCCTGCGATCACCCTGAAGTGATATTAGTCTTTGATACTGGACAGTTTTTGTTTTATTCTCATCTAAAAACAGAGGGATGATAGCTCATATATGAGACTTCAAAGGTCTTTTATTTTGAAACTCTTTAAGTTGTACATTCACTCAGTTATAATGTGGTAGTTATACGTAGTTTGTCTTACATTATTATTGATCACATTTGGCCTATATAGTAGGCTACATATTTTAATATGTTTGGTATAATTGTTATTGACCGAGTAAGCACTTTTATTTTGAAGGCAGTTTTTCTAGGCCGCTACCGTAATGCATAGGATATTCCAAAGTGGAGGCTGGCTTGACCGCAGTGTTTAATCTAAGACGCAACATAGCCTATTATATTTGATAAAATATTAGCTTTGATAAATCTTAAAATGTGAGATACTTATCTCATTGATACAACAAAAACATATTTCTCGTTGGAGCTTGTGAGAGTGGTAGACAGTTTTCTCATATGTTGGAGAGTTGACTCAATTATGCACAATGTACTTACTGCACATATGTTATATTCTATAATTTATTGCATTCTATTTCAATGTAAATTACTGCTTTCTTTTATTGCTATCTTACTATATATATATATATATATATTAATTAGGGCTGTCAAGTTAACGCAAAAAAAAATGTTACGCCACTAATTATTTTAACGCGATTAGCGCATGTGTATTTTTGTTCCTCGGCTGCCCCGTAGTTTCAGAGCGCATCGAGTTTAAAATACCATCTACAAGCTGATGCTGACAGCCCCGCTCCTGCCGCGCTCACCGGCAGGCACCGACTGGCTGTTGGGAGGACCGGGAGGGTGTGTGTATGTGTGGCCCGAGCGAGAGAGAGACCTTACGTGCATTGTTGTTGTTAGCATCTGGTGCTAGCTAGCTGCGCTAACGGATATAAGGAGCTGTTCAAATGAAAACAGAGGAGCGACATTTCGCCACAACTGCGCCGAGCACTTGACTTTATGCAGGAAGCCAGACAGTGGGACATTGTACGATAAGTCAGCACACTCAGCACGGATAGTGCGCAACATGATTGCAGCGTCCAGGCAGCTCCCGTTCGAGCATATGCCTTGAGTTGCACATAGCTCCAACACACACACACACACACACACACACACACACACACACACACACACACACACACACACACACACACACCATTTGTATTGTATTATTGTATGAGAGGTTCCAGGTTGAATTGAGGTGAATATTTGTAATGTTCAGAGGTTGTTGTGTTTAATATTCATGAGTATATTTGTCATTGTTCAAATGATAATAAACATTAGCATAAAGCATATTTGTCCACTCATATGTTGATAAGAGTATTAAAAACTTGAAAAATATTCCTCTAAGGTACATTTAGAACAGATAAAAAATGTGCGATTAATTTGCGATTAATCGCGATTAACTATGGACAATCATGCGATTAATCGCGATTACATATTTTAATCGACTGACAGCCCTAATATTAATATATATATCCGTTTTTAAAAAAAATTACTTTTATGTATGCACCACGACACCTAGTCAAATTCCTCGTACGTGTGAACGAACCTACCTGGTAATAAACCCGTTTCTGATTCTGAATATACTTTTTTCAAAATATAATGTTATGTTAAAGTGATTCGATGATGGTTACCGTGTTGTCTTACTGTATATACAACTGGTATACAAATAGAATTCAAACATGAACCTGGATAGGTGTGTACACGATGAGTCACTGCTCACAAAAAGTCTCAACAAAATGTTAGTCTTGTGTTCAAGGAGAACAAAAAAAGTAACTTTAATTGTTTTGTTTATTTGTAGCGACACAACCAGGAAGAGGGAAGACTATCTGGAATGGCCAGAGTACTTCATGGCTGTAGCCTTTCTGTCAGCGCAGAGGAGCAAAGACCCAAGCTCACAGGTGTGTTTTCATTTCATTTCAAACCTTTATTTATCCAGATTGTCCCTTGAGATCAAAGGTGTGTGTGTGTGTGTGTGTGTGTGTGTGTGTGTGTGTGTGTGTGTGTGTGTGTGTGTGTGTGTGTGTGTGTGTGTGTGTGTGTGTGTGTGTGTGTGTGTGTGTGTGTGTGTGTGTGTGTGTGTGTGTGTGTGTGTGTGTGTGTGTGTGTGTGTGTGTGGTTTAGCTAACATTGGTATTACTACTGGCTGCTACTCCTAGTTAGTCCATCCATTGCTGCAACGGGAATCTATGTGCAATAATAATTGTACTAATGTTATATACCATACTTCTTTCCAAATTGCTACACTTTGGAATTTTTAATCCCGATTAATCGCATGATTTTCTGCGATTAATCGCAAAATTCAATAATGAATTCAAAAGTAGTGAATCTCCTACTTTTATTTTAAAAGTACTGATATATGAACAAAAGTGTAATAACATTTGGTTTGCAAACACTTTAAAAAAGTAAGGTGCTTTTTAACAGCAGTATTCCCCAGCAGTTAAAATACTTCTTGTAAATCTCAACATTAATTAATGTAATCAAATATAAACCCAAGCTATTTGCCACTGCCAGGGCATTAACGTTTCTCTAGCTTGTTCTAGAAGTTCCCCTCAGAGTCCAGAGATAACTAAACTTTGCAGTGGTTTAAATAACTCTGGTTCTATGAGCCCCTCCGTCTGAAGAGATGTAAAATGCCCATGTCAGAGTTCGGTACCTTCCTCCATGTTTCTGTCCCCGCCACTGCTTTCTGTTTCCGTGCATGTGAGCACTGCAGCAGTCTAAGGCCCGCCCCCTATGCTCTCATTGGTTGAGACGTGTGATACGATAAGAGTACTTATTAAATATTAAATCGAATATAAATGTAAAAGCATAGACATGATGACAGCCATCCTAAGCCAATCCTTATCAACATCCCCCCCTCCTTTGACCCATGGTTTGTCTATATGTGTATTCGGAGCCCGTGATCAACGGATTTTTACAATAATAATAACAATTTATTAAAAAACTGTTTCTGCGCAGTAAAATGATCTATCCCTGTGCAGGTGGGGGCGTGTATCGTGAACCAGGAGAACAAGATAGTTGGCATTGGTTACAATGGCATGCCAAACGGCTGTGACGATGACCTGCTGCCGTGGTCCCGCTCTGCTGACGACCGTCTGAACACCAAGTACCCTTATGGTGAGGACCAGCACACTTCTGCTTTCGGCTTAACTTTTTTAGATTTAAAAAAAGTTATGGAACAAATTACCCCTCCAGGTTAGACTTGCTCCAACTCTGCCTGTTTTTAAATCTCGTTTAAAAACCCACTTCTTTTCCCTGGCTTTTACTGTACAGACCAGGTGTTACACTTGTGCTTTTGAATTTGGGTTTTTATCTTACTAGTGTTTTGTATTGTTTTTACGTCATGTAGGAAAGTTTCTCAGTCTGTGGCTTCTGATCTGGTTTCATTGTCTCCTGTTTTACATTTGTTTCATGTCCTGTCTGTTTTTTATGTATTTATGCTATGTTTTTATACAGTTTTTTGATGTACAGCACTTTGTTCAACTCTGTTGTTTTTAGATGTGCTATAGAAATAAAATGGATTGGATTTAAAAAAAAAATGTAAATCAAGAAGAAGAGTTCCACACAAAGGACAACATTCCACTAGTGGCATCCACCACGGCACAGAAGTCCAAATAATTCCTTTTACATTGTGTGGGAGGACTTAGTCTAATTCAGGGGTTTTCAAAGTGTGGGAAGGTGAGCCTCTCCTCAGAGAACATAAGAACAGCCGTGCCCCCCCTCCCAATTATTATTATTGCTATTATTATTATTATTATTGTTGTTGTTGCTATAATGCAGGGGTATTATTATCCAGTGGAAAGTCCTTACCTACTGGCCTAGTTAAATCAAAGTGGTTACTTTCTTTTGGCTGGGCAGTGTAGTTTTACACACCGTCTTATTTGACTTTCTCAGGACTTCAAACAGTTTTTTGGGGGCAGACCCCCTCAAAGAAAAAAATATATTTACACACGTAAGGTCATCATCTTAACAGTTTTGTATGCTCATCCATGAGCAGAGCATCAAGTTGGCATGTGTATAACAGCTGAATGCGACGATTACCATCTTGTTCAGCAAAACGTCTCACAAACTTATTCGGATCTAAAGCTTTAGTGCGTTTTGATTCATTGCTGAGTACAGCCAAACTTGACAGTCTCTTCTCTGTCATTGTAGACCGCAAATACCTTATTCCTTCCGTTCCGTCTACTTGAGTTACACTAACCCTAACCCTCTACATTAGGGATTTTCTCTCATAAATGTCCGTTGAGACACAACTTTTATTTCTCACGCTGCGCCTCCCCTGAAGCTCTCTGACGCCCCCCAGGTGAGGCGCGCCTCACACTTAAACCGCTGGTCTAATTGAAAGGCTTTGGAGAGCAGAAAACACTCAAGCATTGTTTGGCCATCCTCTGCTGCTGAGTTCTCTTCATGGCCTGTAGTGGGTGGTAGAGGGTAAAGAATGGAGAACTGTCTGTTTCTCTGTTTTTCACATGCTCTCTTGTTCTACTTATTATTTCTCTCTTTTTCTGTTTCTCTTCCCTCCTCCCTTAGTGCTCTGTATAGGGTGGGATAGAGAGCATTTAAGTACTCTACATCTTCCCCTACTCATAATGAACTCCTCCTTCAGTCTTTGGTAGAAAATAATCGCTCACTCCTACCAAATGTACAATGCATGTCAACTGGTTGTATTTTGATGGTGTGTTCAGGAGAGGAGGATGTGATTTGTTCTCAATTTAACAGCCTGCACCAAAACACCTAGTAGTAGTTGAACATATACATTTCAATATAGTTATTCTTAATATATCTTGTATATATATCTAAACAGTTTTACCTTATTCAATAGTTGTGTTTTTATTTTACACTATTACTTTATTATATATTTGTTTTCTTATTAGTCTTGTGTAAACTTGTACCTGCCCTGTCCTGTGTTTCCAACTTTATCAAACCTTGTTGTAACTTTAATCACCTGAATTTCCCTGCAGGGATCAATAAAGGTTTGTCTTATTCCTTCATTTCACACCATCCTAGGGGGCACATTCATGTAGATCTGAGTATTTTTGGCTCGTTTGCAAAACAACCTTAATAAATGTAAAGCAATAAAACGTTATTAATGTGCTGCTCTGTCCCGCAGTGTGTCACGCAGAGCTCAACGCCATCATGAACAAGAACAGCGCTGATGTGAAGGGCTGCTCCATGTACGTGGCTCTGTTCCCCTGCAACGAGTGTGCCAAGCTGATCATCCAGTCTGGTGGGTCCCTGCTACACTCACTCACTCACTACCTTCCAGTCTGTTATACCTATTGGACAAATGCAAAAAAAACAAAAATATTTCACCGTTTATTTTAAGAAATTAAAGTGATGAAGCTTGCACGCAGGTCTGCACAACTACGGCCAATAATAATCAAGATGATTACAATACATATAAAGATTGTGAATATTTAGCATGATTTAAATTTTTTACATTTTAAAGGTCTCCTATGAAGCGAAATGCACTTTTTTTTGTAATGTATTTTGTACATAACTATGTGTCCCCGGTATGTAAGGGAACTCACAAAGTGTCTGAAAATACAACCCTTTCTCTCTTCCTCCGTACCCACATCTCTAAAAACGGGGGAACAACGGAGCTGATCCAGATTTGCGTCCGATATGACGTAATATTGGAAATGTGGGCTGGCTTTACATCCACGGTCCTATCAGAAATGTTGCTATCAGAAACAATGTGCCACGTGTTTTGGAAGTAATATGGTCTGTGTTTACATTAGCAAGCATAGCTAACACTCAGAGCTAACCTGTACTGAAGAGAGTATGTGTAAAGAAGCAGGAAATAAAAAAGGAACTCACCTTGTGGTAAACCCACAAGAAAAAAAGCTTTTGAGCTCCATACTGTTTCAGAAATAATCCTTGATGTGGTTTTGAACATGATTTGGCCTTTCATCACGGCATAATTTAGCTGAGTATCTGCTGGTAGAATTCTGAGTAGGCACAAGCTCCCCCCCCCCCCCTCTTTTTTTTCTTTTTTTAAAGTTAAGGACCCGGAATCAGCACTTTAGTTACAGGGCTGAAATAGAGGGGTATGAGGCTAGAATGGGTGATCTGTTTGGTATTTTGAGCAAAACACTTCAGAGACATGTTTTTTTAGGGTGGTCCTTAGTGCCATGTACATTTTCAAATTCATTTATTTTAAGCTCCAACCACCGGAATCTGTTATGATAGTCAAGAAAACTCTCCTGGTGAATTTTATTCAAATTCCAACAACATGTACCCCTCCCTCATCAACCTTGAAGTTCAGCCTCAGTAGGGTGGTCCTTAAAATTGAAAGTTGGAAAGTCTAAGCTCCATCCCCCAGAATTCATTCTATTAGTCAAGAAAACTCTCCTGGTGAATTTTCTCCTCAATCTGACAACATGTACCCCCCCCCCCCTCATCGACCTGGGGTCTCATTTATAACGCCGTGCGTAGGATTCACGTGGGAAGGTTGCTTACGTAGTAGAAAAAAAAAAAAATAGGTACAGACATTTTCCGACATTTTCCGATTCACAAAACATTGCGTACCGGCGAGGAAAGTGCGTACGGCACTTCTTACGCCGGTTTCCCTTTATAAATCACAATCAACTCGAAATGTGGCGCAGCTTTTGTTATTTTAAGTTCTATGTTGCACAAGTTGCGTTAATTAGCATTAATGGCATTATAGCCATAGCATGTGGGAAATACTTATAAAATGGCTTGGTGGATTTGGACAATTTTGGATCCAAAATGGCATCTCTAACCAGACCATCTGGCATATAGAATCTGCCGGATGCTAACTTGCATATGTTGGGCAATTTGCACAATTAGCCTAATTGTGTTGATTAGCATATGCAGACCATAGACAATTTTGTGGCTAAAAAGAGTAACAAAGGTATTTTATTTATTCAGGTATTAAGGAAGTGGTCTATCTTTCTGATAAGTACCATGACACACCGGAGATGACCGCCTCCAGAAGGCTGATGGGTTTGGCAGGCATACAATACAGGTGAGGAACAATTGGAAGTGTTGGCTCTATTTTTATTATTCTTTATTACCCAAGGTCAAGGGGTTAGGGCTGAACGATTAATCGATTTTAAATCAAAATCGCGATTTTTAAATGATGCGATTATCAAATCGCAAAGCCTGCGATCTTTGAAGCGTGAATGCAATCGGCAGAAATAAAAAGTTAATGTTAGTCGGGGGCTATGGGCTTTTTTTCTCTAAACTGTGTCTCGGGGCTTCTTAACATTTAACAACCTATTAATGTGTCATATGACAATATGAATTTTTTTTAACAAAACACAACTCTAACGCCAAGCGTCTAAGCGAAAGAGTGCTAACACACTTAACTCACGGTAGAAATATTTTATACTTCATCAGATCTGCACAAACAAGATATCATATGAAAGCTGAGATTCCACTGATTCCAATGGTATAAGTATCATCACTCCACGAAACTCGCAGCGAAGGCAAGGAAAGACAACACACAACTTCACTTTACGGGCCAAAACGGCAAATACGTCTTACCTTTGCTGTTTTTTCTGATCAAAAGTTCTGTTCAATGGCATTAAAACGCATACAAACGCTGCTGAAGGTTAATCCAATGTCTCTGTGTCACTTTGAAATGATTACTGATAATCCATCATAACATTTTTGTAAAAAACTGAGTTTTCATATAGAGTGTATGAGAGCTACAACCCAGCTTCCAGTTTAGGGCATGCTGGCTGAGCATCACTCTCTTCACCAATGGTAATGTTTAGATGGATTTAAGAGCTTCCCCTCGATTCTATTGGCTCTAACGGTTCAAAAGAGGTGTCAATCACCAAAATCGACCGATGGGTGCTAGAGATATGGCAAATGACCCCAGAAGTGTTTTATTTATTTTTTAAACCGCTCTAAAAAAGTCAAATGTCCCACCAAGCTGAATGTCCCTGGTTCTCAAAGGAGCACCTGGAGATGTTGCTTGGTGCGCATCCTTAAAATGAAATAAGCCGGACCTTTTGAGGGGTACTTGACTTTAGGAACGGGGGGGGAGGGAGGTGCGCTAGTGAGCACGCAGCAGGGTTACTGTGCGGGGTGCATAAAGCAGACCCTTAACGCGATAGCGAGGGGTAGAGTGAGGGATCGCAGATGCCGTTGTGCTCGCGGACGGATTAAAAAAATTAACCCTAAATGGCTCGCGGATTATACTTTGGCGGCCGTTAATATACCTGGCCCGCCCAAGTAAAGTCTATGTGTGGGAAACCCTGCTATCTTACCGGTTCTTATGCAACTCGCAAATATCTCTCTCTCTCTTCTCTCTTTTCTCTCTCTTTTCTCTCTCTCTCTATGTTGGTGCGCAAATGCGCCTTTTTTCAAATTATCCGGTGCTCTTTTTTTGGCGCACCAGTTATGTGCAGCCCTGCAAATGTAATTTGTTTTGCATCAATCTTGATACAGGGTACTTATTATGTTATAGTTTGGATTCCTTTTAGTCTACTATCCCATCATCCAAGGGTGGTTTTCACTATAAAATGTACCTCAAATTACCTCACTGGACATAGTTGCCCAAGTCACCGGCATGAATACCTCAACTTCCATCCTGGACCCCATGCCCTCCACCCTTGTCAAGGCCTATCTCCCCCAACTCACTCATCTTATCACCACAGTCATTAACTCCTCTCTGTCCACTGGACTCGTCCCCCCTGCTCTGAAACTCGCTGCTGTCACTCCCATACTCAAAAAACCTGGTCTCAACCCTGATTCCCTCAATAACTACCGGCCCATCTCTAACCTCCCATTCCTGTCAAATTCTGGAGTGAACTGTTGCCTCCCAACTAAAATCCCATCTGGACTGCAATAACCTTCATGAACATTTTCAATCTGGTTTCCGTACTCGCCACAGCACAGAATCTGCCCTACTCAAGGTGACCAACGACATTCTCCTCTCTGCTGACTCTGGTTCCCTCTCAATTCTCATTCTCCTTGACCTAACAGCCGCATTTGACACGATCAACCATTCCATCCTCGTCAACCGCCTCCAGTCTTCCATTGGCATTACCGGTACTGCCCTTTCCTGGTTTAAATCCTATCTCTCTGACAGACATCAATTCATCTCCATTAACAACTCCAAATCCCCCACATCTCCCGTCATGGCGTCCCTCAGGGTTCTGTACTTGGTCCCCTTCTGTTCATCATCTGCAGCCTCCCAATTGGACAAATCCTCCGTCAACACCAACTCCAGTTCCACTGTTATGCCAATGACACACAGCTCTACCTCTCAACAAAATCAATTTCTCCAACCACACACTCCCAGCTCAGCACCTGCCTCACTGACATTAAAATTTGGATGCAAAACAATTTTCTAAAACTTAACTGTGACAAATCGGAACTTATAATCATTGGCCCACCAAACTCACTCAACCCAAGATTTTTCTCTTACCATTAGGGATGTAACGATACCAAAAACGCACGGTACGATAATATCGCGATAACAAGTCCACGGTACGTTATTTATCGCGATATTCAATACAATATTTGTTTACTCAAAAAATGTTTCTTTATTACATAATAAATCTGATTTTGTACAGCATTTTAGTAGGATAGCAGTATTTTAAAGTGTTAAAAACAAAGTGACAGTAACAGACTGGAACAAGAAAACCAGTGTTTTTGTACCTATAGTACTACCAAACAAAGTAGGCATTTTCTTTGTGCCACTGCATCTCACAAATAAACAAGGACATTTAATAATCAGACCCTGCAATAAAATAAATCAAGTTTCACTTTAGTTTTTCAAGTAACTCAACTCAAACTCACTAAGTCACTCACTCAGCATCATCAGACAGGTTTTTAGGAATATGAGAATGTCCACATTTCCAGGTATTTATAAGCTGGGATGTTTGGGCATCTACAATATCCCCTGCTCTGGAAAAAACTCTCTCGCTTGGTACTGATGTTGCTGGGACAGCAGTGGTCGCGTTAACCGAATATTTTATTTAACAATGACGGAAAAATCTGAAAGCAGTCTGTCATTTTGACAGATTAGAACAAACTCGGAACAGCGCCAACGTTTCCCCGCAGCGAGGCTCTGGTGTTATGCATGCCCTCCAAAAGGAAATTATATACTTTCCAAACCGTACTTTGCCGTACAGATCAACACATGTCTGGGAGGTTTTGCTTCACGCTGTGTGTGCTCCCGCGAGGTGCATGCACACGGCATAACACCGCCCCCCCCCCCCCCGTTGACAGTTCACAGTTCACGAGCGTGCTCTCTCTCTCTGTTCAGACCCGACGGGTAATAAGGGATTATGACGGACATTTTACGATCCTGTCTGTCAAAATGACGGACAGCGAAAAGGCTAACGCCACCTCAGTGGGACGGAGAGATATGCTTTGGCCATGGGTGACAGCAGTGGGTCAAACTGTGCATTGTCTCTCCACCACTTCAAAAACAATACAGTTTTTTCCAAGAAGGTGAGGCTTATTGACAGAGATATAAATATACTGTTGGTACTTGTCAATGTCTCTAGGTGTGTAAATGTAGCACTGTAAATACGATGTCCTTTTGTGTTCTGTTGTTTTATGTTCATGTTGTAACCTACTTGCTGCCATGTTGGACAGGTCTCTCTTGAAAAAGAGATCGATGATCTCAATGGGAACACCTGGTTAAATAAAGGTTTAAAACAAAAAATCGCGGTAGATTTTGTCAGTCTCACGACGGTATTGGGACGTTTATTTACCGCGATATTCGGTATATCGTTACATCCCTACTTACCATCGATGGCTCCTTTGTCAACCCATCCACTCACACCCGTAACCTTGGCATCATCCTTGACCCCACCCTCACTTTCCTCCCTCACATCAACCAGGTTACAAAAACGCTTTCTTCCATTTAAAGAACATCGCCCGCATCAGACCCTCCCTCTCATCGACCGCTGCTGAAACTCTGATCCATGCCTTTATAACATCCCGACTGGATTACTGCAACAGCATACTTTTTGGATCACCTGCATTCACACTAAAAAAACTTCAATATGTCCAAAACTCAGCTGCCCGCTTGCTCACCTCCACCCGATGCTCTGACCACATCACCCCTATCCTCCATGACCTCCACTGTCTCCCCATCAAACACCGCATTGACTTTAAAATATTACTTTTCACTTTCAAAGCCCTCAACAACCTTGCTACCCCCCTACCTCTGTGACCTAATCCAACGACACACCCCCACCCGTCGCCTCAGGTCTGCTGAAGCTAACCTACTGCAGCCCATCAGGACAAAGCTCCGGACCTGGGGTGACAGGGCCTTCGCAGCAGCCTCCCCCACACTCTGGAACCCCCTCCCCAACCAAGTCAGATCCGTCAACACTCTCACATCATTCAAACAATCCCTCAAAACTCACCTTTTCACGCTTGCCTTCAACTCCTAATCAACTAACCCCTTATCCTTATTCCTCCTAGCTTAGCACTTTCTACTTTTGTTGTTATTTTGTTTTACTTGCTTGTAAGCGCTTTGAGCACCAGGAAAAGCGTTTTATAAATGTAATGTATTATTATAAGTAATGTCATTTGTTCTGGGAATGTCATTTTCGACACCTGAAAAACAGGCTTGGGGTTTAACAGGTTAAATAAAAGCAGTCTCATGGATGCACATCACAACCGCTGAGCAAAAGGCGGATTTTTGAGACGTGATGACGTTTCTGTCGTTTATTTTTTGCCATTTTGTGATGCATAGAAGCTTTGGACATTCAACACACTGTTAAAACTGAAACGTTGACTTTAATTAAACGTATTATGTCAACAGATTTCCAATTACTGTATTAGCTTAGTTGAAAGCAATAATATTAAGTGACATTTGTTGACATAATTAATTTAATTCAAGTCAATGTTTCAGTGCAGTGGGGTATTTACTGACATGTTGTATATGGCTTTGCGGCCACGCCTGATCTGGTGTGAATTTAGCTGCTGTCTCACTTCTTTCTGTTTTCAACTTGCCCAAACCTTGTAAAAGTGCACCGTGTTTGGGGGACAGGAATGACTTGAATAAACAAGGAAGTTTCATCCAGCATGTTTTTACAAAGTGTCTTCCATGTGTGGTCATACCCTGAGTGTTGTTTTTTCTTTTTCTTTTGGCAGGCAGTTCAAGCCCAAGAGGACTCAGATTGTCATTGATTTTAATTCCATTAACCACGCTGGAATGCTGAACAGTGCTACCAAGTGAAAAAGCAAAAGGCTCACCTTGGGGAGCTCCTGAATGAGGCAAGGAAGAAGAGGGAGTCTGACGAAATTGAAAGGGACTTTGATGCCTTTTTTCTTGCCCCCAGCTTTGTCCAAAGGAAACCTGAAGGATACCTCGACTTTGGCATCTTTTTGATATTTTGATTAACCGGATACTCAAGATAGTTTAATTTGATGCTCATCCTTTGTGGATGTGTGTAGCAGAAGGACTTTCAATGCTGTTTTCACACTTTCTTCTTTTGAACTCCCTTTGGGTTTGGGCATACACAAGGACATACACTTTCTTTAGTGTTTCCTTTCAAATCTTTAGTGTTGTCAATCAGATCTTGTCATGGCTGCCTGCACAAGGGCAAACCAACAGTCCTTCAGACAAGGTTCCAGATTAGTATAATGTCGCCTTGACATTCACTCTACTCCACTCTACTGCCAAGTCAAATATGAAACCTTAAAGCAAACCTCTAAAAAGGATTCTCTGCAGCTCCCAGGAGGCTTTGGCAGCAGGCCAATGATCTGGTAGCTGTATTTCCAATAACATATTTTATTCAATAACAAAATAAAACCACTTTTCCAGATTGCACGGATAGATGGAGCTGCTTTGTGCATGCCCTAATTATTCTAATATTAACACGGTCCTTCTTTGCTCATGAGATCCCATCTCTTCAATGAATGCATGAATCTCAACACTGAATATGTTAGTGTGCGTTTTTTTTTGTTTTTTTTAATATAGTCGGGATGTAGAGGGATATGAATCTTTGTTTTCTGAAAGATGTTGCTCTCTTCTTTTATAACATGTTTTTTTAATTTTAAATGTCTTTCCATTTTATATTGTAACACAAGTCTGCAGATGCTCTATAACAATGTATTTGTGATGTTTCTTTCCTGGTACCAAAAAACATGTCTTTCCTATGGGTCATAATATTGTAGATGAAAACTAACATGCTGTTAACTTTGGAAGCTAATGTTTGTCTTCATAACATTCTGTGTCTGTACCTTCATTCCTTGTCAGCTCTCAGTTGAAGTAAATAAAACATTTGGACGGCATGATCTAATGTCCACTGTGTTCATTATTTAAATTCCATTTATGATGTAATAGATAAAAAGGTTTCTATAATGAAATGATACATTAATACACATTTTCATGGAAGTTTTTGGTCAAATTATAAATCAACAGATTGTGTTGTGTAGACCTTTAACATGACTGATACAAGGAATACTTTCAGAAAATAATGTTTTTAATTTTTTTTTTATTTACTTAAAGGTTGATCAGTTTAACTGCATAATGCATAATAATAATTCAATCTTTATTTCAGACACAAGGTCCATATCACATACAAAATGATAAGATACATATCAATAAATAAGATTAAAAAGCTAAATACAAAACAAAAAAACAAACGGATAAAAAAAGGCGCCCAGGTGGCATCCTAACTAGGTGCCCGAACCACCTCAACTGGCTCCTTTCGACGCGAAGGAGGAGCGGTTCAACTCCGAGTCCCTCCCGGATGACCGAACTTCTCACCTTATCCCTAAGGGAGACGCCAGCCACCCTGCGGAGAAAACCCATCTCGACCGCTTGTATCCGCGATCTCGTTCTTTCGGTCATGACCCATCCTTCATGACCATAGGTGAGGGTAGGAACGAAAATGGCCCGGCAGACAGAGAGCTTTGCCTTCTGGCTCAGCTCCCTTTTCGTCACAACGGTGCGGTAAAGCGACTGCAGTACCGCTCCCGCTGCTCCGATTCTCCAGCCCATCTCACGCTCCATTGTTCCCTCGCTCGAGAACAAGACCCCGAGATACTTGAACTCCTTCACTTGGGGTAAGGACTCATTCCCTACTTGGAGTGGACCGTCCATCGGTTTCCTGCTGAGAACCATACAATGACTTTGTACATTATATTTATTAAAAGGGCTTGACAGGTAGGCACCCCCAAGTTAACAAACTGTCACATCCTGGCCCTGGTTGATCGCCTCACTCCCTCACCTGTGTATTTTCGCTCCCTGTTAATCACCTGCCTGGTCTCAATGAGCCTCAGCTGTCCCTAATGATCACTCCTCACCTGTGTATTTAGTCTGTGCTGTTTCCTTGGTCAGTGCCAGTTCGTCTTGTCTGTATAGCAGAAGGTGCTCCATGTTTCTCTTCTGACGTAAGCTATTGTTCTAGCTGCTTAGCATTTGTACCATTTGTTTTTTTGTTGCTTCTCTAGTAGTTTTCCGACAACTTAGTTGGTTGTTTTTCGTTACTTCAAGTCAGTACATTTTTTGATCATTGCCTGTTTTATTTTTACCTTTTGGATTAAACGCTTGACTAAAGACCTTATTGCCTGGTTGTGCTCTTGAGTCCTATTTTTGCTCGTGCCCGTACTTGTGCTTGATAGTAGGAACTGGCCAGCATGGACTCAGCCGACCAGGATTCTGTGCGGACTGCTCTTCAGAGTCAAGGGAGCAGGATTTACCACCAAGAGCAGGAACTTACCGGGCTTCGCCAGGAATTAAAGTTGATGGCCGAGAGACAGGAGTCTGTTTTGTCGTCTTTTGGTGGGCAAGTCTGTTATTTGGTCGAAAATATCCAAAAACTATTACTCCAGCCAAGTCCTCCAGCTCCCCCATTGCCTGTTTTCCCAGTGGATCCTACTCCAGTCCAGTCTCCAACTCCGACCCTGTCCCCTCACCTCTCCCGACCAGAGCGGTTTTCTGGGGATTCCGGTGATTGTCGGGCTTTCCTGGCTCAGTGCGGCCTCCACTTTGAACTCCAGGCTGCATGCTACCCATCTGAGCGCTCAAGGGTGGCATACATTGTCTCACACCTTTCTGGCCGAGCTGAGGCTTGGGCAACGGCAGAGTGGGTGAGAAGGTCTCCTGTTTGTGACTCCCTCGATCTCTTCTCTGAGACCTTCACCAAGATCTTCCAGCACATCCCACCAGGGCGGGAGGCAGCCAGAGCACTCGTTGGATTGCGCCAGGGTAAGCAGAGGGTTTCTGACTATGCTATAAAGTTCCGTACCCTGGCAGCGGACAGTGACTGGAACCAATCAGCATTGTTTGATGCTTTCCTTTATGGATTGTCCGGCACATTAAAGGATCAGTTAGCTCCCCTTGAGCTTCCAGCTGATTTGGACTCCCTAATTTCATTAGGGATTAGGAATTTCATAAGATTGACAAGCGACTGATAGAGAGGGAGCGAGAGAGAGACACTGCGATTCCCTATTTCTCCCACAAGAGGCAGTCTTCGCTCAGCTCTTCGTCCTCATGGAATCACCCCAGGCCCTGGCTTCCGTCTACTGGGCCTCTGTCGCCCCCTGCTGTTCCGGAGGAGCCCATGCAGCTTGGCAGGACCAAGCTGACTCCAGAGGAGCGACAGCGCCGCCTGCGGGAGGGCAGGTGCTTCTACTGTGGTGAACGGGGACACTCAGTCGCCAACTGTCGCCTACTAAAAGATCTGGCTCGCCAGTAAAGAAGAGGGCACTGGTGAGCCGCACTACACTTAATGTTAGTCCCTCACGTTGTCTCCCAAATGTCACTCTGTCTTCGTCTTCTGTGGTTCTTAGGCATCCTGTTTTGGTAGACTCTGGCTCAGATGCCAGTTTTATAGACTTTGAGTTGGCTAAGAAGCTGAACCTCGAGACCTTTCCCCTTCCAAGACCAATGGAAGCAAGTGCCTTGGATGGCCGTCATCTCTGTAGGGTAACTCACCACACCCAACCTCTTCAGCTAAGTTTCCAGGACGGTCACACTGAGCTTCTCGTCTTTCATGTTTTTCGGTCCCCGGAACACCCAATCCTTTTGGGGTACCCCTGGCTTACCCTACACAACCCCCACATAGACTGGTCCACTGGCAAGATTATTGCTTGGTGTAAGGGATGTTTAAGTACCTGTTTTCCGTCCAAATGTTCCCTGACTGCTCCTCCAGCTGTCCCTGTAATTCAAGACATGTCAGATCCTGATTACCCTGACATTTCCAAGGTCCCTCAGTGTTACCATGACCTTAAGGAGGTTTTTAACAAGGCCAGAGCCACCTCGCTGCCCCCTCATCGTGTGTACGATTGTGCTATAGACTTGTTACCAGGCTCTTCACCACCCAGGGGTCGTCTTTATTCCCCATCTGCTCCAGAGACACGGGCGATGAAGGAATATGTGGAGTCTTCACTTTCCGCTGGATTAATTAGACCTTCTTCCTCTCCCGCTGGAGCTGGATTTTTCTTTGTGGCAAAGAAGGACAAGTCACTTCGCCCCTGCATTGACTATCGAGGTTTGAACGACATTACCATCAAGAACAGGTATCCCCTTCCTCTTATGTCATCAGCTTTCGACCAGTTACAAGGTGCTAAGATCTTTACCAAGTTAGATCTTAGAAATGCTTATCATCTGGTGAGAATAAGGGAGGGGGATGAATGGAAAACTGCTTTTAACACCCCAAGTGGGCATTACGAGTATCTCGTAATGCCCTTTGGCCTCACAAATGCCCCAGCTGTTTTTCAGACTTTGATCAATGATGTACTTCGAGACATGCTTAACATCTTCGTTTTCGTGTACCTGGATGACATCCTCATCTTCTCCCCTGACAAGACGACCCACAGAGATCATGTACACCGTGTCCTACAGCGTCTCCTGGACTACCACCTCTTTGTCAAGGCTAAGAAGTGTGAGTTTGATGTTTCCACTGTTTAATTTTTGGGCTTTATTGTGTCAGTGGGCAATGTCTTGATGGATCCGGTTAAGGTTAATGATGTCTCTGAATGGCCTGTCCCTGCAAACCGCAAGCAAGTGCAGCGTTTTTTAGGGTTCGCCAACTTCTATAGGCGATTCATAAGAAACTTTAGCACTGTGGCTGCTCCATTGCATGCACTAACCTCCCCAAACACAAGGTTTCAGTGGACCTCTCAGTCGGACCAAGCCTTCCAGAGGCTCAAGAAGGCCTTCACCACGGCCCCTATACTGACCCTCCCGGACCCACGTCTGCAGTTTGTGGTGGAGGTGGACGTTTCAGACGTGGGGGTTGGTGCTGTGCTCTCCCAGCACTCCAGAGAGGACAACAAGGTTCACCCATGTGCTTTCCTCTCCCGGAAGCTTTCTCCTGCTGAGAGGAATTACGATGTGGGGAATCAAGAGCTCTTGGCTGTCAAGGTGGCACTTGAGGAGTGGCGTCACTGGTTAGAGGGAGCTGAAGTGCCATTTATTGTGTGGACCGATCACAAGAACCTGGAGTACCTGCGCACAGCGAAGAGACTCAACCCTCGTCAAGCCAGGTGGGCTCTTTTTTTTTAAATCGGTTCAACTTTTCACTGTCTTATCGTCCTGGTTCTAAAAACACTAAGCCTGATGCTCTCTCCCGTCTCTTTGATACGGGCTCTGACCATTCTTCCCCCGCTACCATCCTGCCTCCCTCATGTATAGTGGGTGCTGTTACCTGGGCTATTGAGGAGAGGGTCAGAGAAGCAAATGTTGGTAACCCAGGGTCGAATGGTTGGCCTCAGAACAGGTTGTTTGTGCCCTCTCCTCTTCGCTCTCAGGTCATCCACTGGGCTCATGCGTCCCCTCTTTCCTGCCATCCGGGGATCAAACGGACCATGTTTGTGGTCAAGCAACGCTTCTGGTGGCCCAAGATGGAGAGTGAAGTGGGGGAGTATGTTGCTGCCTGCCCGGTGTGTGCTCGGAACAAAGTTTCTCGTCGGCCTTCCCCTGGTCTCCTACGTCCCCTTCCTGTACCTACTTGCCCTTGGTCGGACGTCTCTCTGGACTTTGTAACGGGTCTTCCCCTGTCCCAAGGTAACACAACCATTTGGACCATTGTCGACAGATTCTCAAAGTTGGTGCATTTTGTTCCTCTGCCCAAGTTACCCTCTGCCAAGGAAACGGCGGAGGTTGTCCTGTCCAATGTTTTCCGGTTACATGGCTTCCCTAAAGATGTTGTGTCGGATCGGGGTCCCCAGTTCGTCTCCAAGTTTTGGAAGGAGTTCTGCGCTCTCCTGGGTGCCACCGTTAGCCTCTCCTCCGGCCATCACCCTCAGTCCAACGGACAGACCGAGTGGCTCAACCAGGAGTTAGAGA